CAACATTTTTATCAGAAAAGAGTATTTAAAAATATTTAAGTTTAATTTGGAGCTTGATTGCTACTCTATAATGAAATAGTCTCAAAGGATCCTGGAGAGTTCAGCTTTGACTGACAGTGGAGAGGTGCCCATAAACTAATTTTCAATAAAGTAATTTACCTGATTCCTTCTATATTTGGAATTTAATCACTCGCAGATTCCCACATTTTCCCCTGTTGCCTAAAAGTGTAGATTTGTATTGAAAAGATGGTTAAATATGCACATAGAGATAATTTCAGAAAAAGCAACAGTGATAAGCCATGTTGAATGAATGCACGCTCCATGCTGTGATGAGTGTGGTATTTTACCAGTGGGGTCTTCCTTCTCCAAATCTATCACTCTAGACTATTCTGTTGAAAGCAAATTCTGAAAAATCATACCTAAGGATATTTCACCTGACTTGTGCTCCTCAAACTGCCAAGATCATCGAAAAAAACTCCAGTCTGAGAAACCATCGAGGCTACAGAGGAGCCCAGAAGACCTGAGAGGTACCTGTGATGTGGTGTCCAGGAGGGGTCCCTGCTGCAGTGAAAGGACTTGTGATGGAAACTAAGGACATGTGAATGCACCATGGACTCCACTGAATAATGACACATCCTGACTGGCCCATTAGCTGCGAGCAATGTGCTGAGCTAATGGGAGATGTTAATAAGAAGGGAAATTGGGTGTGAAGTATGTGGGATTCTCTGTGCTGTCTGCTGACTTTTAGGTAAATAGAAAACTATTGTTACTCTAAAATGAAATTTTAATTAAAAGCAGATGCTGTTAACCTAAAAAAAAAAAAATTATGGCATATATACACTATGGAATATTATGCAGCAGTTAAAAAGTGAAATCCCATTTTGTAAAAAAATGGATGCAACTGGAAACCATTATAGTTAGTGATATAAGCAAGTCCCAGAAAAAAATGACGCTGAAATTCATCTGAGGCCCAGGTGACCTCGGATTGCTAAAGCAATCTTGTACAACAAAAACAAAGCTGGAGGCATCACAATACCAGATTTCAGGACATACTACAGGGCAGTTGTTATCAAAACAGCATGGTTGCTGGCACCGCGGCTCACTAGGCTAATCCTCCGCCTTGCGGCGCCGGCACACTGGGTTCTAGTCCCGGTCGGGGCGCCGGATTCTGTCCCGGTTGCCCCTCTTCCAGGCCAGCTCTCTGCTGTGGCCAGGGAGTGCAGTGGAGGATGGCCCAAAGTCCTTGGGCCCTGAACCCCATGGGAGACCAGGATGAGTACCTGGCTCCTGCCATCGGATCAGCACGGTGCGCCAGCCGCAGCGGCCATTGGAGGGTGAACCAACGGCAAAAGGAAGACCTTTCTCTCTGTCTCTCTCACTATCCACTCTGCCTGTTAAAAAAAAAAAAAGGCATGGTACTGGTACAGAAACAGATGGATAGACCAATGGAACAGAATAGAAACACCAGAAATCAATCCAAACATCTATAGCCAACTTATATTTGATCAAGGATCCAAAACCAATCCTGGAGTAAGGACAGTCTATTCAATAAATGGTGCTGGGAAAATTGGATTTCCACATGCAGAATCATGAAGCAAGACCCCTACCTTACACCTTACACAAATTCAACTCAACATGGATTAAAGATCTAAATCTATGACCAGACACCATCAAATTATTAAAGAACATCAGAGAAACCCTGCAAGATATAGGCACAGGCAAAGACTTCTTGGAAAAGACCCCGGAAGCACAGGCAGTCAAAGCCAAAATTAACATTTCTGATTGCATCAAATTGAGAAGTTTCTGTACTGCAAAAGAAACAGTCAGGAAAGTGAAGAGGCAACTGACAGAATGGGAAAATATATTTGCAAACTGTGCTACAGATAAAGGGTTAATAACCAGAATCTACAAAGAGATCAAGAAACTCCACAACATCAAAACAAACAACCCACTTAAGAGATGGGCCAAGGACCTCAATAGACATTTTTCAAAAGAGGAAATTCAAATGGCCAACAGACACATGAAAAAATGTTCAAGATCACTAGCAATCAGGGAAATGCAAATAAAAATCACAATGAGGTTTCACATCTCCCTGGTTAGAATGGCTCACATTCAGAAATCTACCAACAATAGATGCTGGCGAGGATGTGGGGAAAAAGGGACACTAACCCACTGTTGGTGGGAATGCAAACTGGTAAAGCCACTATGGAAGTCAGTCTGGAGATTCCTCAGAAACCTGAATATAACCCTACCATACAACCCAGCCATCCCAGTCTTTGGAATTTACCCAAAGGAAATTAAATTGGCAATTAAAAGAGCTGTCTGCACCTCAATATTGCAGCTCAATTCACAATAGCTAAGACATGGAATCAACCTAAATGCCCATCAACAGTAGACTGGATAAAGAAATTATGGCACATGTACTCTATAGTATACTATACAGCAGTCAAAAAACATGAAATCCGGTCATTTGTAACAAAATGGAGGAACCTGGAAAAAATCATGCTGAGTGAAATAAGCAAGTCCCAAAAGGACAAATATCATATGTTCTCCCTGATCAGTAACAACTAACAGAGCACCTAAAAGGAAACCTATTTAAATTAAATGGACACTATGAGGAAAAATGACTTGATCAGTGCTTGTGTTGACTGTTGAGGAACAACGTATTATTTTATTTCTTTTATTACTATTTAATACCATTGGTTGAACTCTTTAACACACAGTTATTCTTAGGTGTTTAAATGTAACTGAGAAGTGATCCCTGTTAAGTATGAGAGAGTGGCACATGCTCACTCGGACTTACCCCTAATGGTAGAGCTAGAAATGTGCCAGGGGATTCCAATTCAATCCTATCAAGGTGGCATGTACCAATCCCATCTCACTAGTCAATGTGATCAGTTTAGTTCACAATTGATCATAATGAAAGGATTAAGTGTCAAAGGGATCACATAAACAAGACTAGTGTCTGCTGATACTGATAGAATTAAAAAAGAATAATCCAACATGGCAAGCAGGATACACAGCAGACTCATAGAATGACAGATGTCCTAAACAGCACTCTGGCCTCAGAATCAGCCCTTAAGGCATTCGGATCTGGCTAAAAAGCCCATGAGAGTTTTGCAGGCATGGAAAGCCAAAACATTGTGGCAAAAAAAGACCTAAATGAAAGATCTCTGTGAGTGAGATCCCAGTGGAAAGAATGGGCCATTAAAGAAGGAGGTACCTTTCTCTGAAGGGAGGAGAGAACTTCCACTTTGACTATGGCCTTGTCTAAATAAGATCGGAATTGACGAACTCAAGAGGCTTCCATAGCCTTGGCAGCTAATGGCAAGAGCCTCGGGTGATTACTGAGGTCATAAATAAAAGTGTCAATTGTTAACAACAGGAGTCACTGTGCACTTACTCCCCATGTGGGATCTCTGTCCTTAAAATGTGAATTAACGGTATAACTAGTACTGAAACAGTACTTTACACTTTGTGTTTCTGTATGGGTGCAAACTGTTGAAATCTTTACTTTGTATATACTAAATTGTTCTTCTGTATATAAAGATAATTGACAATGAATCTTGATGAAGATTGGGATGGGAGATGAAGTGGGAGATGGAATGGTTGCAGGTAGGAGGGAGGTTATGGGGGGGGGGGAAGACGCTAGAATCCAAAAGTTGTACTTTGGAAATTTATATTTATTAAATAAAAGTTAAAAAAAATAAATAAGCCAGTCTCAAAAAGACAAATACCACATGTTTTCCCCGATCTGTGGTAACTGATAGAGTGCCTAAAATGTAATGTATAGGAGTCCCATTTGCATTTTGAGATGATATGATTGTTAACAGCCCTTATCTTTTCGTTTTGTTTTTGTTTTTTGTTTTTTTTGTTTTTTTTTTGGACAGGCAGAGTGGACAGTGAGAGAGACAGAGAGAAAGGTCTTCCTTTGCCGTTGGTTCACCCTCCAATGGCCGCCGTGGCCAGTTTCGCTGCGGCTGGTGTACCGCGCTGATCCGAAGGCAGGAGCCAGATGCTTCTCCTGGTCTCCCATGGGGTGCAGGGCCCAAGCACTTGGGCCATCCTCCACTGCACTCCCTGGCCACAGTAGAGAGCTGGCCTGGAAGAGGGGCAACCGGGACAGAATCCGGCGCCCCGACCGGAACTAGAACCCAGTGTGCCAGCGCCGCAAGGCGGAGGATTAGCCTATTGAGCCGTGGCGCCGGCCAACAGCCCTTATCTTTACTATTGAAGAATAGTGTTTTTTTCTTCAAACTATTTTTTGGACTCTTTACTTAATGTATGATTAATTTTATGAGTATAAAATAAGCTGAAAATAGATCATTGTAAAAATTAAGAGATGGAAAAGGAGAGGAAGGAGGAAGAAGAGTGAGAATATGGGCAGGAGAGAGTAGGGTGGGAAGCATCACTATGTCCCTGAATCTTTATACATAAAATACATGAAATTTGAATACCTTAAATAAAATTTAAACAAGAATAAGCGCGCACACACACACAAATTTTAAAACATAATTACCCAGAAACAATTGATGATTCTGTAAATGTTCAATAGTTCAATCTTAATTAACTTGCTCAAAATATTTTTCTCCTCAGAGATGAAGATAAACTGAAAACCTGGAAGCCCAAGTTTTTGATATCAAAGGAAAAAAAAGAGAAAAAAAGTGCTGAAGCATCAGAAAGGTAAGAAAACAGATGCAGTTATATTACAGCTTATCTGCTACAACTTATGGCTGTTTGACCTTAGGCAAATCATCAAATTTGATTGTCCAGTTCTTAGTCTACAAAATGATAATAACCTATATCACAGTACATCTGAAAGGATTAAGAGAGACAATGGGGGATGGATTTGTGGTATCCTGGGTTAAGATGACATTTGGGACCCCCTCATCTCATACTGAAGTGCCAATTTGAGTCCCAGCTCCCTGCTAATGAAGGGAAGGCAGCAGATGATGGCCCAAGGATTTGAGTTCCTATTTTACATGTGGAAGACTGGGACAGAGTTCCTGGCTCCTGGGTTTGGCATGACCCAGCCCCAGTTTTTGCCATCATATTGGGAGTGACCCAGCAGATAAAGATTGGTCTCTCTCCCTCCCTCTTCCCTCATCCTCTCTCCACACCGTTGTCCCCTCCCTGTCTCTCTTTCTCTCCTTGTCTCTCTGCCTTTCAAATAAATAACTCTTCAAAGAAAAAAAGAAAGAGGGATATGAAAATGTTAAACACCACACACATTTATCTTCAGCATCTTCATCCTTGCTATTGTTGAGTGGAGAATGAAGAAAGATTTCAAGATGGCCCTTGTCATATAATGAAAAACTTCTAATTTTCTTTTAAGTTAAAACTTTTTTGTCTTACAAGATAGAACCTAAAACACCAATTTGAACTTAAATGAAACTTTAAGAGAAACTAGGTGTCATATATTAAGACTGCTTCCTCTATAATGTAATATAGTTCCAGCTGTGACTACAACTAGTATTGGAGTTTACAAAGAACGTTGCATGGATTCTCACCCTTCTTGATGTAGTGCAAGTCCCCAATTGGATGTTGTGGGAGGTGATGTTTTTACCAACTAAGTTGTCACATAACGCTCTGTGCTACGGTCTTCATAATTGCTAGGCTATGGCACAGGGTCTGGGTGCTTTCTTTAATGTTTGGGAAAATCTTCTACATAGTTACTGAGCTGTGAACATTATATGAACATTGTTCTGGAAAACCTGTCTAGAAAAGTCCTACTGGGTACCCCAAAAGAAATCAGACATCAGTCTGTACAAAATCTAAACTCCAAGGATGATCCTACCCTTACGTTTATTTTCTTTGGGTGTATTGAAGTAATTTATTTGTTATAACTTGGAAAAATGTATTCACCAACTAAACTAGGACAAACATCTTTTTACTTTAAAATTCATAGCTTCACATGCATTTACATAGCTCAGCAAATGGGAATATAAGAGGGGAAATATCATCAAAATTTTTGACCCTACCACTCCACACAATCCCCAAAAGCTTTTCAGTATATTTACAAGTAAGTATTTTGGGAGACAATTCTTTGATGCTTTTTTATTTCTTATAACAAATTGATTTAGTAAGATACGTTAACTCTCAACTGAGTAAATGTTTGAAAATGCAATAGTGGGGCTTTCATTACTCCTGTAAATGAATGTATCGGTTTCTTTTTTAAAAAGATTTATTTATTTATTTATTTATTTATTTTGAGAGAGAGCTACAGAAAGGGAGAGGGAAAGGCAGAGAGATAGATCTTCCATCCACCTGTTCACTCCCCCAGATGACCACAGTGGTCAGGGCTGAGACAGGTTGAAGTCAGAAGCTTCATCAGGGCCGGCGCTGCGGCTCAATAGGCTAATCCTCCGCATAGTGGCGCCAGCACACCGGGTTCTAGCCCCGGTCGGGGCGCCGGATTCTGTCCCGGTTGCCCCTCTTCCAGGCCAGCTCTCTGCTGTGGCCAGGGAGTGCAGTGGAGGATGGCCCAAGTGCTTGGGCCCTGTACCCCATGGGAGACCAGGAGAAGCACCTGGCTCCTGCCTTCGGATCGGCGCAGTGCACCGGCCGCGGCAGCCATTGGATAGTGAACCAACGGCAAAGGAAGACCTTTCTCTCTGTTTCTCTCTCTCTGTCCACACTGCCTGTAAAAAACAAAACAAAACAAACAAAAACAAAAAGCTTCATCAGGGTCTCCCAGATGGGTGACAGGACCTAACACTTAGACAATCCTCCTTTGCTTTTCCTGGGCCATTAGCATGGAATTGGATCAGAAGTAGAGCTGCTGGGACATGAACCTGGGACATGAACCAGTGCCCATATGGAACCCAGGCATTGCAAGCAGTAGGTGGCTTTACCCACCACACCACAATGCCAGCCCCAAATGTATCAGTTTCTATGTGCTCTTTTATCCCTTTAAAATGATTTCTACTGTAATTTCTTTTGCCAGTAAGAGATACTTCCTATATTATTTCAACCCTTTTTTAGTCCAAGATAATGGATAGTTTTAAGAGAAATTGGGTAAGGATCTCAGGTATAGAGCACTAAAAAGTATAGCCCGTCTTGCACAATGACCCAAGTAGACAAATGTGTAGGTAAGACGTATATGTTGGGAGATATATGTGTAGAGATGGCTAGAAAGGGAGATAAGGGCCAAATTATAAAATACCCTGCAAATGAATTTAGAATTTTCCTGTAGGCAGTATAGACACATTGTAAAGTTTTAAGCGAGAGAATAGATTAAGTTTTAGAAAGAAAACTCTGGAGACAGGAATCGGATGGTTCAAGGAAGGAGAGGCAAGAAGATGGCATTTCAGGCAAGAAGTTGTGGTAGTCTTGAGAGATGGCAGCAGCTGTAATCTTGGAGAGAAAGAAACATGTAGGAGACACTTCTAGGTAAAACTGACAGGATTTGATTGACTTTTTCTATCAATATAGTAAGTTGATACAAAACAGAACCAAACCCTACATGGAGAGCAGGAGGGATAAAGGGGGGGAGGATAAAGTTTCTGCTCTAAGCTTATTCACTTTTACATGTTAAAATTAATATACCTCTTTTGTGGCATCTTGCTTTATTTTCTTAATTCTATCCACCTCCCAAATCATTGGGTAAGCAGGACAGTTCTATGAACAACATAAATGTATGATTTTCCCAGTAATGCTTAAAAAGTTGGAAAGCCACAAAATGTAAGCCCTTTACCCATTCTTACTGGTTTCCATTAATTAATCTAAAGGTGAGTGAAAAGACTTCAAAATGTCCTTAAGTTTCTTTTTTGAAAAAGTTAATTATGCTTTTAAGTCTGATTTAGAGAAGTTTCTTATTTTTCTTAAATTGTTCAACTAATTTGTTTAATATATTTTTATATTAATTGACACATAGTAACCACACATTTTCATGGGGTGCAGTGTGATATTTCAACATGTGTATACAGTGAGAAGATCAGGGTTCCTGACATATTCATCACCTTATATAGGCTCATTTCCTCGTGTTGGGAACATTCAAAATCCTTGCTAATAATTTGAAATATATATGTAAATTACATTTATAATTGTTACCATCCATAGTTACCATGCTGGACTCTAGAACGATTAGAAGTTATTCATCCTATAAAATGATTCATCCTATAAAACTGCACTTCCTGAACCCCTTAAACATCCTCCATCAATGTCATTTTATTCTGTCTTGCTATCAAAAATACTTGAAAATTGTGTGGGAAAGTAATTGATATTTCCTGTCTTGTTCAGTTGTTTGGACAATGTGTTTTAATGGAAAGATATCTGTGTATTTATATGTATGTGTGTGTATACATATGTATGTATACACACATGACTATATATAATTTTACACAAAATTACATACACACAAAATTACACCTAAATTTATCATGAAATAGAATGATTTTGTAGATTTGGGAACCTAAAGATTTTATTGTAGAACATTTAACCCTTCTGCAATTTCTTACCAGTTTTTCTCCCAGAAATTTCTTCAGAATCAAGAAGCAAAACTTAGAAAAGAACAGAATAGAAAGAGAAGAAAAGCTTTTTAGGGAAAAATTTGAGGTATGTTCTCTTCTGAAGGTAAGAATTTGGAATATTAATAGCTAGGAACTCCCATGTAAAGATTTTATACACACACACACACACACACACACACACTATACCTCTAACATCTTTGATAATCTTTGAATGAAAAAGCTGATGCTGCATTTTGAATTCTCCCTGATGCATTTCTACATTAACATAGCCATGTATATGCTATTTTCTCTGCCTGGGAAAAGTCCTGAGTTGTTCTTCAATGTTCTGTTCAAATGTCACTAGTCTTCCCCAGCTGCTCCAGGTGAAGTGACTCCCTCAGCACATTTTATGTAACTGTGATACCCATATCATGGGTAATACTGATCAGTTGGATTATAGCATGTGTGTGTGCCCACTAAATAGTTATGTTCCTCTGCAGGGTGAGACTCTGTCTCAATCGAGCTTGCCCCTAATTCCTAACATTAAACCAGATATACATACTGTTCAGTGACTGAATAGTGGGCTAAATAAGTAACAGTGGAATGATCTGAGCAGAATCTGAAACTCTTGGACATCTTATACTGTCATTAAGCTATGGGGCATTTTTCCAATATCTTAAAGTCCAAATGGTCCTTCCTAATTTCATATATTTAAAAAGTGAGAACTTATTAATATATATATACATATACATATATATATATATATATATTTCATGTGCTGGATTAGGAGAAATAAAGGGTACATCCTGCTCATAAAATATGTCTAAGTCACAGCCTGAAATCTTTCACAAGTTCTTCATGGCCAAATGGATAAAGTTTAGGCTTCTTAACATGGCATAAAAATCTCTGTTATGTCATGACCTATGCTTGCCTTTCTGGTTTTATCTCCTGACACTCTTTGTCTTGCACTATCAGCTCTGGAAACAAATGGTCATAGCTCTGTCCCTTGAATAACTTCCACCTCTGTGTTTGTCTTTCTTCTTCATTTCTCCAGCATGTACTTGGTGTGTTTTGACTATCTGGTATACCCTTGCGATCGCCTCCATCTGACTTGTTTACTTTTCAAGATCCAGTTGGGGTATCTCCTCTTTCCAGGAAGACTTGCCCAAATTCCTGACTAAAGAAATGACACTTCTTCTACCAATCTATATACCTGAGCAACCTCTTGATTATTGCATTTACCTATTTATCAAACTATGAGATCCTAGAGCACAAAGATTATCTTATTTAATCTTTATATCTACGTGCACAGCAGCATAAAAGTACCTGAGACTTTGTAAACATCCAAGTATATGTTTAAACAGGTTTAAAATAGGAATATACATAATTTTCTCATAATCACTGATAACCCCTGACTGGGCCAAAGCTGGATAGTGTTACTATATTTAGAAATTATAATATGAAATTACATTTTAAATTTATCTACTATAAATTGTTATGTTATTTGATTAGGTGATAACAGTATAGTAATTACTTGTTGGAAAGACTCTTATAATCCTCTAGTGACATTTTCCCTCACCATATTTTTGACAGTCTCATATGAGACAGAAACTCCATTTGCTGTATACGTATATGATTCCATTCTTCAGTATTACCTGTGATGATTTTCCATAGTCAGAAAAAAATGATTTATTTTAATCATTTTTACCCAGCTCAAATCACAAAATACTGAGTACTCATTTGTGCCAGGCATTGAAAACACAAAGATATATATGACTATCTTCCATTTTCATATTATAAGACAGTAGGTTTATTAAATGCTGTATTAGGAGTAACTACAACATACAGTTAAAACAGTAAATTATACAAGCCATCATCAAAGTGTTTATGTGAGCTAGTTAAATGAAGGAGCAGTGGCAAGCAAATATGAAGGGCTTGTGGTGCATGTAAGGTTAGCATATAGCCTGATAAGATCTCAGAAAGTTGGGATGGAAGGATGGGGAATGACAGTATGCAAAGGATCATGAATGTGAAGCTAAGAAGTGAAATCAGTGAAGACTTTTGAGAACTAGACAAATGAAAAAGTGACCTAATCATATTTGTATTTCAAGGCATTTTGGTCAATTCACATTGAACTATGCCTTGGAAGAAGAAGACAACTATTTAGGAAGCTATCCCTTTGCTGGGCAAAAGAAAAATACATCTTGCAGATAAGATTCCATTTGGTATAGAGTGATCTTATGAATTTATAATCCAAATTCAGGACACTTCTGAGAGTGGAAAGAGGTACTCTTCCTTATCATAATACTTGTAGATAGAGATAATAATTATAGACAGAGACAAGCCTGGGCATAGGAGATATTTGGCCATTCTAATTTGGTGAAATAAACATCTATAACTAAGCTGCATATATTAGAATTGTTTTTTTCAACAGATTTTATTCAATATATTAGATATTGAAGTACCTGTGTATGTATAGGCTGGCTAGTTTATCACACAGAAAAATGTTTGATTAGGTCAGAAGTAGAATTTCTCATTTTCCCCCCACAAATGCCTACCTTCGAGCACAAAAGGAGAGTGGGAATTGCTCCTATATACACAGTCCCACCACTTTAAGACACATGTACTGTTGTTATATGTAAGTTTACTCAAAGATGAAGAGTGAACAAACAGTGCCATCTAGAAATGATAGGTATACAAGAATATTTAAGGCATTAAACAGATAAAGAGGATTTTGTTTTTTAACTTCTGCCCTCCTGGGTGTGAAGGTAAAAGTAATACTGTAGTAGCTAACATACCATCCATGATACTATAGCCTTATTACTATTTTTTTTTTTTTTTTTGACAGGCAGAGTAGACAGTGAGAGAGAGAGACAGAGAGAAAGGTCTTCCTTTGCCGTTGGTTCACCCTCCAATGGCCGGCGCGGCCTGCACACCGCACTGATCCGAAGGCAGGAGCCAGGTGCTTATCTTGGTGTCCCATGGTGTCCCAAACACTTGGGCCATCCTCCACTGCACTCCCTGGCCATAGCAGAGAGCTGGCCTGGAAGAGGGGCAACCAGGACAGAATCCGGCGCCCTGACCGGGGCTAGAACCTGGTATGCCGGCGCCGCAAGGCGGAGGATTAGCCTAGTGAGCCGCGGCGCTGGCCCTATAGCCTTATTAAAGACTCTTCATCCCTTAGATTCCATTCCCATACAATTAGATGATAGATGTGAAAATATTAGGAAAATATAATCTTACTACACAAATGTAAATTGTAGAATTTTAACACTATTTTCTTAAACGACTTTCACTGCATATCTTTCCATTTTCTACTTATTGAGTTATCACAGCATCTTCTGTTCATTAAGTTAATATACTATATCTTCTGTTAATTTTGTTATACTGAAGATAGCAATTATATAAATAAGCATGGTCTGATTAATCATTTCTAATTTCAGTACGACAAAGAGATTGTTGTCATCAACAAAGCAATAGTGTGCTCCAATAATACAAGAAATGGAATATTTGATTTGCCAATAACCCGTGGGGAAGAACTGGAAGTCATTGATATTGCTGAACAAAATCTAGTGATATGTCGCAATTCTAAAGGCAAATGTAAGTTTATTCACTTAAAGGTCAGACAATAAATCACTGTTCTTAAAGAAATCTTAAAGTATTTTCTCTGTAACTTTAAGATTAGTAACAGTGGTTTTGTTTATATAGATGGATATGTGCTCATTGAACATCTAGATTTCAAGTAAGTGCTTTTATACTTCCAATTCATGAGTTCTAAATAATTAATGTTGTATATACATTAGTCTCAAGAAAAGGCTACTAGATTTACTGAGATAGTTAGTCATGTAGTGCCCTATTCTGTATGGATTATATTGGAAGAGGTGTTTTTTTTTTGTTTGTTTTTTGTTTTTGTTTTTTGACAGGCAGAGTTAGAGACAGAAAGAAAGGTCTTTCTTCCATTTGTTCACTCCCCTACTGGCCACTACGGCTGGTGCGCTGCGGCCGATCCAAAGCCAGGAGCCAGGTACTTTGTCATGGTCTCCCATGGGGTGCAGGGCCCAAGGACTTGGGCCATCCTCCACTGCCTTCCCAGGCCACAGCAGAGAGCTAGACTGGAAGAGGAGCAACCAGGACAGAATCCGGCGTCCCGACCAGGACTACAACCTGGTGTGCCGGCGCCACAGGCGGAGGATTAGCCTAGTGAGCTGCGGCGCCAGCTGGAAGAGTTTTTATTATTGTGTTGCCTGTGTATCTTACCAAACTTCTCTACAGAGCATATTTATATTTTGAGGAAGCATAAAAATACTGAATTGGACTATCCCTATTCATTGGCCTAATTTCAAAATATTTTGTCTATTTTTCTTCTCAGGAATCAAGGTTGGTCACCTTAGGAAAGTCAAGATGCAATGCCAGGGGCTGTACTAGCCCCAAATCTCAGTCCTGCCTCATATCAGTTCCAGTTTACACATGAAAATGAGATGCACTTGTGGCAACTTTGGTTCAGAATGTGGAAGAGAAAGACAAAGGCAAACTCTCCATATTTTGATGCAGGTTTCACTCCTGAAGGGTTATCTTTCAGTGTCTTTTTCAGTACATATTTCACTCCAGTTCAGGAGAATGTGAAACTGTATGTGTTAGCACTGTAGCACTTGCTTAATGAGCCACATCCAAAGTTAGAAACCATGCCTTCTGGCACCTCGGCAGTTGTGCAGATGGTTAGTTCGCTTCTAATATTAGTACACAAGTGTTTTGAATTTCTAGATGTTATGCATTTAAATATGGCATAATTAAATTCTGAACAATCAATAATATAGCCAAGGTCTTTCAAATACTCAAATTGAAGATGTAATCTTAAAATATTTATGGCAGCCTTTTTAAAAGTCAAGATATAAGTGTCTTCTTTCTTCATCAAAAAATAAAATCCTATGACTGCTACTCAACATTAGTTTCCTTTGGGAATAGTTGGCTGAGAAGAAATTTATTCCTAATTTCACACAACATCATTTTAAGAAGTGCCTAAGTATATTTAACAATCTAAATAATACATGTATGTGCTGTGTCACTTTAAAACATCCTATTCCCCAAAATAAGGAAAATTGTTGTTATTTTGTCTATGCCTGAATATTTATTCAAATATAATTCAAATGTATTTTCATTTATGTGAAAATAAAAATTAAAAAGCAGAGCTGTAAATAACATTCTGTTATTCATGCAATTGAGATACCTAAATTCCACATATGTGTTCAACTGTTTTAAAATTTAAGTGGCTTTATCAGCGCTGAAAAGCTGGAGAATTTCAGTCAGTTCTGTAAGCAGGTATATTCTGACCTTCAAGTGTGTGATGACTTTTTTTTCCATGACCTCATCCTTTGGACTATGAGACTATTTTCTCATCTAGGTTCTTTTGTCTTCTTTTTCATGTTCCAAATGGCACTTGCCAATAAACACCAAGTTTATCCTAAGAGATAGGAATCAAAGGTATTCAGAGTTCAGAGAAGAAAAAAGATAAAGCGATTATTACAAATGACATAATTAAAAAGATACAAATGGATTGCTAGAGAATTAAGTAATGTTTTATGAAGAACATAACAGTGAGATTGGCTCTTTAAGTGTATTTGTTAGGCAGGGCAAAAAGATGGTGACCATTGGAAATCCAGGGTAAACGGCGTGCAGTTTGGTGAAACTGGCAGGAGCTGTTTGCAGTGAGGTAAGGTGGGGCTAGAATGTGACAGAGCTTGCTTGAACTTTCCCTTGGGAGAATGGGGAGCCATTCAAAGGTTAAGCAGGGAGGACATGCCAGATGTCTTGGCAGCATGGCTGGGGGTGGGGGAGTGGTGGATCAACATTGCAGTAATAGAAGAGGGGCTAATTGTTTCTGCAATATTCTAAGCAAAGGGGCATTAGGTCTTTAAAGGCAACAGCAGTAGAAATATGAGGACACTTCAAAAACTTCAAGGAAAGTAGAATTAAAAGGTAAAAGTTTAGAAATTCATTCATTTCTTTCGGAACTTTTTAAAGACCTCTTTTACAGAGAGGAGTCCCACTACAAGTATCACACAAGGAAAGGAAACAACACACAATTAGATGCAGAGTAAGTTTAGTAGAATTGGGGAATGGTCCTGAGAATTTTTAGGAGATGAGATTAAGACTGGTGCCAAACAGTGAGAAAACAGGGCAGGCATTTGGCCTAGCAGTTACCTGGCACCCATGTGGGAGACCTGGATTTAGCTTCCAGCTGCTGACTTCCATCTGGCCCAGCCCTAGCTATTGCAGGAATTTGAAGAGGGGAGCAAAGTAGTAATGGAAGCATTCTCTTATCTCTGTCTCCCTTCTCAAACTAAAAAGAAAATGAAAATTGGACTAGAGAACAAACTTCTTAGTCCCTCTACTTTAATTTACCACTAAAAAGAGGCAACTAAAGCCTTCTGTTCTCTAGAATCTGTTATAGAAGGAAGTGTGGAGGCCAGCACTGTGGCGCAGCAAGTTAAGCTGCCACCTACAACACTGGCAACCCATATGGGCACCAGTTCTTGCCTCAGCTCCTTGGTTGCTCTGTTTCTGACCCAGCTCCCTGCTAATGTGCCTGGGAAAGCAGTGGAGAATGGCCCAAGTGCTTGGGACCTTGCTCCCACGTTGGAGACCTGGAAGAAGCTTCTGGCTCCTGGCTTTAGCCTGGCCCAGCCCTGGCTGTTGCAGCAATTTGAGGAGTGAACCAGCAGATGGAAGACCTCTCTCTCTCTCTCTGACTATGCCTTTCAAATAAATAAATTTTTTTTTAAAAAAGAAGGCACTGTAGAAGACAAGGAGAAGTATCGTCTGTGGGTAAGGGGATGAGAGTCTATGATGGGCAGAAACACTTTATTAATAATCCTAACAAAGAACCATAAATCTCATGTTACTACTGCCACCTCACCACACTATGAAATATTTTAAACCTTGGAGTTGCAGTAGTACTAAATTTTAACCAAGATCAGTTGGTTCTGTGCATTTTCTACCCCATTATATGGCTTCCTATATGGCCATTACATGGCCTGTGATATGGTATGTGACTTTGCAACAGGTGTTTTTTATATGCAATTAAAGTTGCTAACTTGTTCATCTTAAAATAGGGAGATACTTTATCCAGATAGGCCCAGCTTACTCCCATGGACCCTAAAACTGGATGAGGAAGATACACATCAGTCAGCTAGCCAGAGAGATCCCTGTGAGTGGCCTTGAAGACAAAGGCAGTCCTGGGCTGGGGACGTCAGTGACCACTAGAAGCTCCCCTTTCCAACTGCTGGAAATGGAGATGTCAATCCTACGATGGCATGGAACTAAACTCCACCAAAAGCCCGAAAGATCCTGGAAGCATATTCTTCCCCAAAGCCTAGCCCTTTCAAACAATTTGTTTTTCAGTCTGTGTGGCTTAAGGTAGAAAAACCAGCTAAACCCACCAGACTTCAGATTTTAAGATAATAAATTTGTGGTGTTTAAGTGGTTAAGAAATGTGTGGATCCAAGATGGCTGTTAAGAAGTACTCTGTACTCACCTCTGCCACAGGCAAGAACTAGGGCATCGAAGAAGGACTGCATTTTCTAGAGAGAGTACTGTGGAAATCAGCAAAGAAGTGATGGGAACCCTAAACAGCACTGAGACTCAGACCACCTAGAGAGGAAGGAACTGAATTTATGGCCTGGTGTGGAGGTGGGGCAGGACAGGACTCCAAATTGCTAGGAAATCGTAAGTGGGAAAGCACCAGTGATCCCATCATCACTGAAGACCTCCAGTCCAAACTATAAAATTCCACCGTCCTCAAAGGCTTTAACTCCTGTTTGGGAAGTTGACTAGGACCTGAGCAACTGCATTGCTCCAAAGAAGATGGGACATCCTCAGTCAGCAGAACCCAGTTTGCAATAGCACAGCCACTACTAGACTCTGTGCTGCCCTGGGACCTGCAGGCAGACTCAGACACTTCCATGAGCCCCTGGACCAGTGCCCAGCTCAGGATGCCCCTCAGCATCCCATACCTGTAAGGCCGGTGCACACATGCTGGTGTCATCCTTGTTGATCCTGCAGGACCTGCAGAAGGTCCCTTTCGTGTCTTCCAGCTTAGAATTCACAGTGTCAGTACACAAGCCTTAGTAGCGCCTGCAGAAGATCCCCTCCACACTCACAGCTCAGGGCCCACAGCCATTGGGTGCACAAACCCTAGTGTTACCGTGTTCCACAGCTGGAAGACCATAGCATGGGAAGAAAAGCCCCAGCATCACCCGTGCTCACCCTGTAGAACCTGAATATGAACCCATTCATGTCCTTGTAACTCCAGGACTATGGCTGTCAGTGCCACAAGCTCCATCACCACCTGTACTCACATCTAGGGATGGATGCATCAGCACCCTGTAGGTACAGGACGATGGCTATTGTAAGCCTGAAGTACTACCTGGGCTCACCCCTCGGCACCTGGGGATGTTCCAATGAATGTTTTGCAACTCCAGGACAGTGGCTGTTTGTGCTATATCCCTGAGTCATTTGTGCTCCTCCCACGGGATCTGGGATAAGGTTCCTGATCCTGTGGGCCTGCAACTGTAGCTACTGGTATTACACTAGGCATGACCTGTGCTTGCCCAGCAAGATCTGGAGACATTCCCCTCTGCATCCTGCAAAGCCAGCGCCACAACTGTTGGTGACATAAACCCCAGCATTACCTTCACTTGCTGTGTAAGGCCTTGGGAAGTTCCATCTGCACTCTGCAGCTCTGGGACTGTGGCTGTTAATGCCACAACCCTGCCATCACCCACAATCTCTTCCACAGGACCTGGGGATGGTCCCCTGTATACTGTGGCCCTGGAATAGTGACTGTGGGTTTTACAAACACTAGTGTCACCCAGGCTTATCCGGCAGGACCTGGGTCAGTATTCTCTATGTCCACAGCATCAAGACCATGGCTGGTACCTTCAGAAACCCCTATGCCATCAGCACTTACCTCTGTGGGTCCTGAGGACACACACTTTTGGAAGACTATCTCAATTGCAAAGTCATACTACTACCTCCACAACTGCTGCCATCTATACAATATAGCACTTATACAGACCACTGATGTTGATTACAGCTGAAGAAATCAGATGGATGTTACATTTCTGATCTGACCTGGAACAAAAGGCAAAATCACTATCCATCTAACACCCCACATCTCATATCAAAAAAAAGTCTTTTCCAACAAAAGCTATTCCATAAAACTGAAAAAATAATTATTACAAAAGATGCATGGACATCAACTTAGGGACACAGGAAACAAAAAACAACGAAGCATGACACTTCCAAAGAAACACAATAAATCTCCAGAAATCAACTGCAATTTGAAGGGAATCTACGCAACACCAGAAAAACAATTCAAAATAATGATTAATGACTCTAAGGAAGTTCAATGAGATGCAAGAGAGTACAGATAGCCAATTCAAAGAAATAAGGGAATAAATCCATGGTGAATGAGAAACTCAACAAAGAAATCTACATAAAAAAATCAGGAAATTTTGGGGCTGAAAACTTGAGTCAATGAAATAAAAAATATAATTGAGAACTTCAGCAGCAAACTATATTGAGCTAAATTTCTGAGAGTGAAGACAGGTGTTTTGTTTGTTTGTTTGTTTGTTTGTTTTGACAGGCAGAGTTGGACAGAGAAAGAGAGAGAGAAAGGTCTTTCTTCTGTTGGTTTACTCCCCTAATGACCGCTATGGCCGGCACTGTGCCGATCCGAAGCTGAGAGTCAGGTGCTTCTCCTGGAGTCTCCCATGGGGTGCAGGGCCCAAGCACTTGGGCCATCCTCCACTGCCTTCCTGGGCCACTGCAGAGAGCTGGACTGGAAGAGGAGCAACCGGGACAGAATCCGGTGCCCCAACCAGGACTAGAACCTGGAGTGCTGGCACCACAGGCGGAGGATTAGCCTAGTGAGCCACAGCACTAGCTGAAGACAGGTCTTTCAGCATAATCCAGTAAGAAAAAAAAAAAAAAAAAAAAAAAAAAAAAAAAAAAAGGAACTAAAAAGAATGAATAAAGCATACAAGAAGTAGGGGATACCATCGAGTGAACAAAAATTCACGTTATGGGTATACCTAAAGGAGATAAGTGAAAAGGCACTGCAAACTTATTTAATGAAATGATAGTTTAAAATTTTTCAAATCTTGAAAGATATGAACATT